AATCAACTCACCATGCAGTCTGGACCAGGTGTTGATTACGCTCACACTCTAACACCTGAAGGTACATAACGATTATCTGGAAGATATGGGTCAGTCAGTTATTAACAAAAACTTGGAGAGCACGGAACTCAGATCTTGGTGTCCATGCAGCAAAAGAACCTCAAGCTATACCCCAGGGAGCTCCTGGTGATGTCCAGCAGACAGCTCAATTTTTGGGATGTGCTTGCTACGTGCTTTTATAGTTGGGCAGAGTGCATATGTGAAGACCAATCTGCACCTGTGGCATTGTTTTCCATGCGGCTCATTTTCATTCTTGCTGACAATACCTTTCCACCAGTGAGATTTGCCTGCACTACACATCCCTGTACCCCAGTAGCCAACTTGCACAAAACATGAAAATACATTAAACACATTAAGAAAAACACTTAAAATATTTAGTTGAGAATTTATCAAGAATCTAATGTCAGAAACTCAAATAAGCAAGAGCAGATGACAAGGCCAGAGAAGTAAACATGAACTTTTGCTACCCAAGTGCCAAAATTACAGTGTGCTCTACTGCACTCAGCTAAGCCTGAGGCTTTCAAGTTTCAGTTTAGCTACACTAGATAAGACACTCATGAGACATTCTAATAAACTCATTTCTGAGCACATATTATAGACTACTTGGTTCATTTTGAAATAAAAGAATTCAGAATTCTTCTGTTCTTCCAAAGGAGATATTAAAGCTATTTCTAAAGTAACTTTTTTAAAAAAAGATTTATTTATTATTATGTATACAGTATTCCATCTGCATATCAGAAGGCACCAGATCTCATTACAGATGGTTGTGAGCCATGTGGTTGCTGGGAATTGAACTCAGGACCCTGGAAGAGCAGAGTGCTCTTAATCGCTGGCGCCATCTCTCCAGATCCTCCAAAGTAACTTTTAAAAGTTAGCTCTTAAGGGTGAAGGAGAAAGCTCAATCAGTAAAGCGCCTGCCTCACAATCCCTAGGATCCATATAAGAATGTTGGGTGTGGAGCACACAGAGGAAGTCAGCTGAAGCATGGCTTAGGTGGCTGCAGGTGCCAAGCCAAACCTACCTTGTGAGGATGCTTCACATGGACACAGAAGCCCAGCTCCTTGAGAACGCGTCTCTCTGCCTTTATAATCTGGTTTTTTAAATTAACATACTCTTGATCCAGCACTAGAGGCACAGGTTTCCTGCAAAGACAAAGCAAAATTCTTCCAGATTCCACCAAGTGATAACCACTACAGTACCGGAAGTCTATAGATTCACTTCAGCAAAGTCGCACAACAGTCCTCCAACCTCAATTCTAACCTATATATTCTTTATTTTTTGTTCACCAGATAGAAAGACCCTACATACACTTTATTACTAACCTGCCCCTTGCCTCTACACATAAATAGTATTCTAGTATTTCAACACACCTCTTGAATATGGTGGAGGATCTCAGGATCTCTGCACAAGGGCTATATACCACGTCAGATTCAAGAAAAAAGATCAACCTTTCTGGTTGGATAGGAAATTACAGAACCAATAAAGCACAATAAAGTCGCCCCTCAGTATACACTGGAGCTGGTTCCATGACTACTTTCACCTACTCTAATACCTATGAATGCTCAAGTTTCTTATACAAAATGGTATATCCCCACAGCACTTACAGTCTCCACATGTTTCAAATCACTTGGGTACTTAATGCTACCTAGTACAATAGAAATGCTATACACATATAGTCACAGTACTGTTCTAAGGAATAGTGACAATAAAGTCTATACAAGTTCAGCACCGACACTAATTCCACTCCCTGCATCCCAAGAATTTCAATTCAAGGCTGGTTGAACTCTTGAGTGAGAAAGCTGCAGATATAGATGACAGACTATTGAAAAAGAGACCAGATTGTAGCTGGATGTGGCGGTGTATGCCTGTGATCACAGAGACAGGTGGATCTCTGAGAGTTGAGACCAGTCAGGTCTACAGAGAAACCCTGTCTCAAAAACTCAAACCAAACCAAACCAAGCAAAAAACAAAAGAGACCAGGTTGTGTTTTAAAGGGTTTCTGTTAAGCTGGGCATGGTGGTACATTTCCCTAATCCCAGCACTCTGGGGACAGAGACAGGCCACCTGAGCGAGGCCAGCCTGGTCTGGCCAAGCCAACTAAGGCTACACAGTAAGACTCTGGTTTAGGGCTGGAGAGATGGCTCAGTGGTTAAGAGTATTGCAATTCCCGGCAACCACATGGTGGCTCACAACCATCTGTAATGAGGTCTGGTGCCCTCTTCTGGCCTGTAGGCATACACACAGACAAAATACTGTATACATAATAAATAAATATTTAAAATAAAAAAAGACTCTGGTTTAGAAAACAGCAGAATGAAACAAAAACTAAAGGGCTTCTGTGAACAAGAACAGGAAGTCTGGGGTATGGTCCACAACTGGGGACAATGGTTTCCAGTGCTTTGTGGGGATGCTTGCTTGCTTGCTTGCTTGCTTGCTTTAGATTCTTTCTTTCTTTCTTTCTTTCTTTCTTTCTTTCTTTCTTTCTTTCTT